AAGGAGACGTGATGCATCAGTTAGTTTCAGCAGTGTCCACTCCTGCCCTTCCAGGCAATGGCTGGGCATTTGCTCACGGAGGTGGGCCCTTTAAATTTTTTTTATCAACCAGGAGCGGGCATTTGCCAATCCCCGGGACCATTCCGGAACGTTTGGCACCCTTGTGGATTTGGTCTCGCATGTACATGATGTTCTCCAAGCGAGTGTGATCATCTTTACCTGTGTTCTTTTATTTATTCATGTCCTGTTGATTACATATTGATCAGCAACGTGACATTGTGCTTCTGGCGATTACTTTATAAGGCAATGTAAGAGAATGCTTCAAAAATTGCTCTAAATGCCACGTGTAGAAAAGAATTAAAATAAAAGTGGCTTACGTTATATTTGTAGTACGTTACTTTGATTTATCGTAAAATACTAATCGTTTGGTCAAACAATGTTAAACCTTTAACACTTTGAGTCCCTACAGTGATTGGTACGTAAATTCTTCTTACATTTTTATTACACTGTCAAGCAAAAAGGTAATGAAAATGGGGAAAATGATCAAGAAGGGGATATGGTCTTGTTATAATATGAAATTCTCAGGGCTATACAACAAAGAAATGTATGGTATTGGTTAGGAGAATTAACTTTCAGATCTTGGAAGTAAAATGGTTAATAAATTCACCAACAAGCCTCACCAAACTGAATTACAACGAGGGATCGAGCGAGCGATCCCTATTAACCAGTCTAACCTCGTATCCACGAGTTCATAAATGGACATACCGCACATGCTCAAAAGCAAACGGAATCGACCAATGGTCGTCATTTTTGGTGCTGACCAAAAACACCACAGCCTCTGGTGAAAAGAATACCACACACAATCAAATAACAACAAACAAACAAACAAACAAACAAACAAAAAAAACAAACAACAAAGAAATAGGAATCAACAAGTTCTACTACGACACAATTTTAACCAAAGAGGTCTTCGAGCATCCAAAAAGGTCAAAATATCTCCCTTTATTTAGTAAGTTGATTATTAATTTCTTGAGAAGGCGGTGTCATGAGCATTGCCTTTTTTACATGGTTCATTATCGAAGTAGGAATTAACAAGTCCTACTAGGAGATAGTTTTAACCAAGGAGGTCTTCGAACAATACTTTATAATTAAGTTCTTGAAAAAGCGGTGTCATGTGCGTTGCATTAATATAGACATGGTTCATCAGAATGTGGGTTCATCTAATCCACAAAATATTTTACTTTATTTTAGTTTAAAAACATCGCGAGACAAAGCGAAGACAGGATTCGAAGATACCTAAGAGGTATTCCCCAGTTTTGAACATTTCCAGGTCTCGTTCCAAAAAATTTGAGATAGCCGAGAATTATTTTGACAGTGGGCAGCTCTGGCAAGACCTCTCGAACAGAGGAGCCTTGGGGGAGGTTTGTCCAAAAGACCATTTTCTTTCGAATGCTCCAATAGAGGATTGATCACTGAGTGTAACATTTGCAATAATTTCTAATATGCTTACCCCTCGACGTTATCTGTTATTTCAAACTTCACTGTGCAGATATTGCCGATGCGCAAATATCCGTGCGTTTTTCCGCGTCAAGTGTAGAATAATGTTTAATGTTGATATAAAGTTATCAAAGCGTCTAACCAACAATGAGATGAACTTAATTGGTAAATGCCAAAAGTGTACATGCAGAACGTTTTCAATTACTAGTCACAGCTATGAAAATGATGACATTCCAAACCTTGTATTGGTATTTGTTTTAGAAAGTAGTCAACATTGAATGCTTGCATTCCCGCTGGTTTATGGCCCCTTATTCGTTTTCTAGTTTCTGGTTTTAACTTTATTCAATATTTTTACGAAACAAGGAATCTAGGGGGTAGTTTCGGACCACCGGGGTTCCAATTTGAGTTTTATTTGTTTTCATTGCTTTTGTCTTTTATTTATAATTTGCTTTCCCATTTTCTACCTCTTGTTTGTTCGAAATAACTGAACGCCCCAGCTTAGCTTATTCCCTTTCACTTCCTGTGGAGCATAGGTCCATGGAAACTGCCCGCCATCTCCTTCTGTTTTGGGNCCTCATGGAAAGTCCCTGATATATTGCGTACGTAATTTCTACAGTCTTGATCTTGGGTATACTCATTAGGTATGGTTTGCTAAAATGCTTATTTCCTTTCACTCCCTGTGGAACATAGGTCTATGGAAACTTTCCGCCATCTCCTTCTGTTTTGGGACAACTTTTCGATCTCTTTCCAAGTGTAGCCTGCCTTTGACGCCTCATTGTCCACAGTTCTCCTCCAGCTGTTTCTAGGACGACCTTGATTTCTCTTTCCCGGGGGGCTCCACCTCAGCGCATGCCTGGTAATATTGCTGATCAGTTTTCTTAGGGTGTGCCCAATCCAGTCCCACTTGCGCCTTCTAATCTGGATGTCAACTCGTTCCTGTTCAGTTCTTTCCCACAAATCTTCATTTCCTATAACCTGAGGCCAGTGTATGCCCATGATGGACCGTAAGCATTTGTTGACAAAAGACTGCAATTTGTTGGAGGTTGCTTTTGTTACCCTCCATGTCTCTGACCCATACAAGAGGACGGATTTCACGTTGTTGCTAAATATCCGTAGCTTCGTCTTTCTGGATGTCGTTTTAGATTTCTTCACAGGACTCAGAATTATGAAAGCAGTTCTCGCTTTCCCGATCCTCAGACCTTTCCTTCCGAAACTCAGCCTGCTCATCCTGCAGTCGTTTGTCCACTACTACTTTCAGTATCTCCAGGATTATTCTGTTCAGCACTTTTGCGGCGGTTGATAACAGCATGATGTCTCTCCAGTTCTTACCTTCCTTTCGGTCTCCCTTGTTTGGTAGTTTGATTAGGTAGCCTTCTTTCCAGTCGTCTGGTAGTTCTTTAGTTTCCCAGATCTTCCTAAATAGCTCGTAGAGCATCTCTGTCGAGGTCCTTAAATCTGCTTTGATGGCTTTTGGTAGTATCCCATCGGGTCCTGCTGCCTTGCCGTTTTTCAAATGCTGGATGGCTCTCCTGATCTCTGCTTTACCTGGCCTGCTCTCATTGAACTGTAAAGGTTCGTCGGCTGGTTCTATATCAGGCATCTCGCTTGGCGGAGGTCTTTTGAGCAGCGTCCTAAAGTGTTCTACTCACCTTCTTCTCTGCTCTTCTTGATCGGTGAGCTCCTCTATGCTTTCCGTTCGAACAGGTCTGACTGTGATCATTCTAACACCTGCCAGTGTTCTTGTGACGGAATAAAGATCTTTCAAATCGCCTTTCCCTACTGCTTCCTCCGCCTGTCTTGCAAGGTCATCCACGAAGTTCCTTCGGTCTTTTCTGATGCTTTGCTTAACCTGTCTGTTGGCTTTAGAGTATCTGGTCCGGGCTTGCACTTTCTTGGCTCTGGTTCTGCTACGGTTCAACACATCCTTCTCTTTCTTTCTAGCTTGTATCTCCTTCAGGGTATCTGTGCTGACATAGGCCTTATGCTGTTTAGACCAAGGTATCCTCTCACGTCTCCCTCCAAGCATTTTTCATTCTCTGCCTCACTTGGTTGACCACTGTATTGCTCTCCTCTTCCCTTCGATATTGTTCGCTTTCTTGGAGACTTGCAAGTGCTTGGTACTTATTGGACAAGGTAAGCTTGAACCAGTTCTTTGTTTCCTCATCCTTTAGCATCACGATGTTGTATTTGTGGCTTGTATTCTGTGAGCTAGTATGAAAGTTTTTCAGCTTCAAATGACATCTGCCCACAAGAAGGTGGTGGTCAGAAGCCACATCTGCCCCTCTCTTTACTCTGACATCCAACAAAGACCTTCTGAACTTTGATGCTATACAGAAGTGGTCAATCTGGTTCTCGGTTTTGTTGTCGGGAGAAACCCACGTTGTCTTGCGTACCTTCTTGTGGGTGAAAACACTACCTCCAATGACTAGCTTGTTAAAGGAATAGAAGTCAGTTAACAGCTGTCCATTCTCATTCATTTTCCCAATACCATGTTTTCCCATAACTTTCTCAAAACTTGTGTTGTCACTCCCCACCTTGGCGTTAAGATCTCCCAGCAATAGTAGTAGATCTTTCTTGGCTACTCCATCTGTGGCACACTGTAACCTCACATAGAAGGCAGCTTTTGCATCGTCGTCAGATTCGTTTGTAGGTGCGTAGCACTGGATGAAGGTGGCTAATGCGATGTTGGTGTGGAATCTGGCCGTGATGATTCTGGATGATATTGGATTCCTGCCTATGAGTGACTTGACCGCTTGTGAGGTCAGCATACTCCCTCTGTGTGTGGAGCGTTGGCATGGTCATGGCCTGAGTAGAGGACGGTCTGTCCAATTGACAACCTTATGCACTCAGACACGATCCACCTGGTCTCACAGATGCCTGGGATTGAAAGCTTGTATGTGGTCATCTCGGCAGTGATCTGTGCAGCCTTTCCTGCCTCGCACATAGTTCTCAAGTTCCATGTACCGAACGAAGCTGTTTTCGTGGGGGTAAGGAGTGGAGTCGACCTCGTAGCTTCCTTTCGGCTTTTACCACGGTGCGTCACACGAGTCTCCGAGGAGACGTTCTTTTGACTCAAGACTGATGTGATTTTGTGCCTGCTTCCTATGGTTTCTGTAATGTCGTCTATCCACTTCGTGGGTGATTGGCCCTCCAAGCTTCACCAGAGCCC